AACGAAAATTTTATTAGTTTACGTTTCGATTTAAGAAATTTTGTTATTGTAATACATGGATCCAAAAATTCGATTTGAGATAATTTAATATTTATAAAAATATATATATTAAAAATAATTTAATTTTAATTTTTATTAAATTTTATTAAAAATTAGATTTTGGATGCATTTAAAAATATTTTCGAAAATCATGGTCAAAGTAGAAATAAAGAAGGATCAATTTGAAAAGAAATCTAAAAAACTGGGATAAAAACATAATTTTAAAAAATACAGCCACGTGAGATAGTCACGTCAACAACATGACGAGTCAAAATACGTCGCGTGATGGACACGTTGAAATCGATTCCACGCAGGAGCCACGCAGGCGATCCGCGTGCTTGGGCGATCCAACGACTCAGATCGCATCTCACGCGCACGAACGACTTAAATCTGTTTCTTTTTCATACGCGATTGGATGACTAAATTTGATCATGATGGACGGTACAGATTTGCACACGTATCGGCCTAAACAAGCATCGAATCGAATAGTCCTCCTTGCTCCACGTAGATGCAAATAAACAACCAGGATCAGGGGAAGAGATGTATTTAAATCTCTTTTCAGTTGGCGTCAAAATCCTAGCTGACAACCTTAACTGGAGAAGAAGAAGGAGGGCGGCCGGACGGAAGATCAACCGCTAGAGGGACACTGCCACCACCGCACTAGAGCCATCGCCGACACTGAAAAAGGTAAACAAAATTTCCTTCCACTTGAAATTGAATTCCGAACCTCCCCACACCCGTATCAGAGAAAAAAGGGCAGTGAGTGAGTAGAAAAATACGAGCGGAGCTCAGTTGAGCCGTCACAGCCACAACCTGAAACCTCTCTGATGACCCTCTTTCTGTTTCCCGTTCCCCTCGGTTCTCTGACCATTGTGATCCTCATTTCTTTCTGATCCAGGTTAGCCGAAGAAACACCCCGACCACAAAGGAGGAACCGCGGAGCTGCAGCACCCAGAGATCCTTTTGCTGGTATGGGCTCGGTTTTCTCATTTTTTTTTAGCCAACAGAGGCCCCTTAATTTTATTTTTTATGGGTTTTCATGCAAAATTGGCCAAAATCGGCTTAAACCGGTTAAAAATGGCTAGGTTGAGAGGAACTGCCGTCATGGGCAGCTGAGCCACCGCTGTCTTGCCGGAACCCTAAATTGGCCAAAAAAATTCAAAAACACTTATTTTGACATTTTTGGGGTATTTTTGGATACGTTACGCGTATTTTTTATTTCTATAAAAAAATTTCAGAAAATCCGAGAAGTACTATGAGGCACAGTGAAAAGTACAGTGTTTCGACACTAATCCGGGATAAAAATTCCTCACATTTCTCCCTGTTATGGTAAATTAAAATTCAATAGTAAATAACGTTGTGTTTTGTGAAAGTAAAAAAAATCTTAAAATTGATTACATGTCATCAGTGGAGCCAGTACAAAATTACCTATTTTATCGATACTGTTTATCTATTGGTATGATATATTTGTTGGTTTGTTGTATTCACTTTTATTTATGGATTTATTTCCCTCTTTGTATTGATTGCCTAAATGTTACTCTTATTTGCTTATTGATTGAAATAAATGTCCTAATCATATTTTCTTAATTTACTTGTTGTCTATTTGTATGACTTATTGTTGATTGGTAAAAAAATGAGATGTGGGTATATAATTTATGATTGATTGATGATATGCTTATTAGGTACCCTCATAATGGGTGTACGGACCTGGTACATAGGAAAAACTCTACCGTTGACATTATCTCAGTCGAACGAGACTGAGAAGTCCCATACCAGAAGGGCTTAGGAGGTATAGTTTACCCTCATACCGGACGAGATATTGAGATAGTGGTATGTTTGACGCCCATTACTCGATATGGTATAGGGACGACAGTTAATCGAAAAATTGGATATTAAATTCACGCAGGGAGATACTTCTATAAACTCTCAAGGGTACTAGTAAGCAGGTAAGTTTCTTGTTATTACTCATTTGAACATGTAATCAAAATACTATTCGGGTTATTGTATTCATAAATCAGTTTTGAAAACTCATAATGATAAGTATGAAATAACACTTTTTAAATTAAATGAATTTATTGAAAAAGAAATAAGGGCTTCATTGGTTGTCTGACGATTTTTTTACCAACCTTTAGTTTTTTACATTGGTGCTAAGTGTGATATTTTTACTGGGTTAGCGTAGCTCATTTTTCTTATTTAACCATTTTAGATCGAAAAAATTAAGATTCAGATCCTAAACAACAAGAACGTTGCTAATAAAAGTTATATCCCAAACTTCATCAGAGTTGCCCAGCGGAGATTAACCTTATAGGATTTTTTTTCGCTTTGTTTTAATTATTTATTCTGTTATTTTGAACTTCTGTAAAGAGACATTTTCATAACTTTATTGAGTATCATGATTTACTGTGTAAGAAATGTAAAATCTTAAATTTTAAATTGCTTCCTCTTATTATTGATATAATTTGATATTTCTATTTCTTTAATTTTGGGTATTATTCAGTTTCAATCTAATGCAATTTAATTTGAAACTGATGCTCACCTTTTTAACTAATTTTAAAGTGCATCGTACTCATAGAAAATTTACTCTCGAACATATAGGTAATTATATTTCTTAATGTACTTATAAAAAATTTACTTGGAAACAAGTTGGATCAATTTGTAAAGAAATCTAAAAAACTGGGATAAAAACATAATTTTCAAAAATACAGCCACGTGAGATAGTCACGTCAACAACATGACGAGTCAAAATACGCCGCGTGATGGACACATTGAAATCGGTTCCATGCAGGAGCCACGCAGGCAATCCGCGTGCTTGGGCGATCCAACGACTCAGATCGCATCTCACGCGCACGAACGACTTAAATCTGTTTCTTTTCCATACGCGATTGGATGACTAAATTTGATCATGATGGACGGTAAAGAAAATATAAAATATTCCAAAAATTTTGAATATTTAATTGCCAGTCTGTCATTATGTATATATGCGCGCATACAAACAAAACAGTAGAAAAGTAGTGAATAATTGAAAGTGTCAGTTATAAATTAATACCAACAAAAAAGGAAAGCACATAAATGCACATTAAATATATAAATATATATATATATATATATACACACACGTCAGAGTTTCCAAATAAAGAATATATTTCAGTTAGAATAAAATTCCCAAAATAATAAAAAGAAAATAACCCACATTTTGTTTTTTAGCATATTTCAAAATAAATTTAATGACAACATAATTAGTTCAAAATTTTCATATAAGCAACAGAAAAGAATAAATATGTTGTTTTCATAAATTTCACTGATTCTCAGAATAATTGAATGAAATTGAGTATAAATTTATTAGATTTTAATATATTATAATAATTAATTTATGTTACATACATGATTATTTATTAAATTTTTTTAAAAAATAGTAATATTACTTTTTTTTTTAATTTCTCTTGCAAAAAAAAGATGAGTGAGTTATATAAGACTTGTATTATTTATTAAACTAATAAAATTATTTAATGTGCAAATTTAAAATTAAAGACTATAAGAAACTAAGTTACATACATTTATTTTGGAGATTGAGGGGACACAAGTGTAAAATAATTAATCATTGAAGAGAACTAAGAAGATTATAAAAACGAGAGTTAAAAGCATCCATGTTAGGTTTAGGAAGTGTTAAACCAATTTCAATTCCACCTTCCATGTCTCTGCTTTCAGTTAATGAGATTGCTCTCATGGAATCAATTGAAATCTCCTCTATTTTCTCAGCTCTGCCCCAGCCAAAATCTGTGTTATAGAGATCTAACTTGGGTGATCCGACAGCGATGAGGTGGAGCTCCGACCCGATCAACTCTTCCCAATCGGATATCCACTTATCTGCCCTCATAAACATTGCTCTATCCAACTCTTTAATCTTGTTTCCTATCAAATTTGCTGCAACAATAATTCCATCCTCCCCTATTAGCTCATTCAATCTGGCTTCAGGTCGTCCGAACCCGACACAGTTACCCACATAGGTCGGAGGAATGGAATAGTTCAACCGGGTTAAACCACCTGCAATAAACCCAAAGTAGAGTGGATTGTCCTCAAGAGAGCAGTATTTTTCATTTCCAAATGCACCCACTTGAGTTTGAGCTCTTACATAACAAACCCAAATAAATGAACAAGTCAATACATATGGAGATAAGTGCACAGGCTGTGGCTGGTTTTTTCTCTTGCATTGTTTAACAATCCATAACTTGATCTTCTCCATGTCCTTCAAGCTCATCACATACGTGGCTCGAACCGTCTTGGACAAATCTATTCTAGTTTCTTCCCCTATAATAACTTCTCCTCTACATCTTCGCTTGCGCCATTCATCCAACAAGATATTCACGAGCCCATAAGTGTCAAGTATTATGGTTCTATCACAGGAAAAAGGCGAGACGACACTGAAATCAGAGCTTTGAAAAAATGATGCCCATGTCTTGATGAAGTTATTAAATGTTCTCCCATCACAAACTAGGTGGTGATATGCAAACCCTAAACACAAACCCAAGTTTGGAAAAACTGTTACTTGCACTGCAAACAATGGAAGTACCTCATTTTTGGCTGCAATTCTGTTTGGCAAATA